TACAAAATGACTGAAAAACGGCAAACTTCGCAAGGCTATATTTTCCGCATTTTACAAGATTTTGCAACAAAACTTTGGAATATTACTAATTTTGTGATGCTCTTTCAAGCTGTGATGAAATTTTTGTCTAGATCGAAATTTTAGTTATAAGGGGAAAGGTCCAATAGAACAAAAATGACTTGCATCACCAGATACTGGAGATTTTGGATAAAAATTCATACATGCCATATATTATTTAATATCCACATAAGGCATGGCATCCCAATAAAGAGAGCAAAATTAAAACTTTGCATGCGCTGTTTATTTGTTAAACATGTTAGCTAACAAAAGTACGTTCAATTTTTTTGGTTAATGTTTTTTGTATTATTTTACAAGTAACAGATACTGAATAGTACGCTTCACAAACTATCCGGTTTAAGTTAAATTGATATTCACTTATAAATTGCGTATAATTCAATATCCGCTATCCGGTCGGATATCTTCAATTATCCGGCCGGATACCGGATAGTGCGATTTTCCCACTATCCGTCCGGATACATGCATTATCCATGCATTCGTCATTGCATGAGTCTGCCAAGTCATTTACCTTAAGGGATGTCAAATTAGTCAAAGTGGTCCTGTATTTATAGTATTCCTAGCTTAGGCAGACAATCCATATATTTCAGAATATTTATAGTATAGTATACACGTATAGCTCTAACTGAACAGCCTAATCTTTAGCTATACAGGTAAAAAATACTTCACTAACATCAAAAGGTTTTGAACAATTCGCATCCTTCATGTTACCAATATCAATTATTCCTTTGGGAAGATGGCCAATTTTCTTGGAAATAAAACTTCCTGCACGCTGAAGAATTTCATTGTCCTCCTGGTCTTCCTCTTCGTCTAGAAATAAAACATAAGCGCTTCTAATCATTTAACAATTTTCGCTAGACGTCATACAGACAGATTAAAACAAATACATGCACATGCATGTCATGTATAACTATATTTTCATCTTTTGCACATTTTTTTGTCAAATTCGAACTATAAAGACCATTTTTTGGCAACTTTGACAGCTGATCGCATGCAAACCTACAAGGAATTCTGTTCAAATGACAAACCTGATTGTTTAGCGCTCCTCAATGTTTCACTTGCCCATGCTGGGACACCATAGATTTTCTTGAATCTAAACATATGAAGCCAGTTAAAATACATCGTTGATTAAATCTATCACTGACAACGTTTTGATACACTCACTGTGTTTCTAATTTCTTCTTTAATGCATCACCAGAAATAGTGTCGTCACCCCCATCTCTGAATTTTTTCAAACGGTTTTCTGAAGTTACATCAACCCTAAAATGAAAGAAAATGGAGGTATTTAATGTAGTGCTATATACTCGCGGTTTGTTCTGTGTAAGACAGAAGAATTTTTCTAAAACATAGTAATGAAAGCGCTGTATAGAAAGAATGATAGAAACAATCCTGCTACAAGACACATTCACACTAGCTGGTTCTTCTCAAACTCAATCATATAATTCATGAACAAAAAACATACCAAAGAAATTGCACCATTAAAACAAACCACGATTAATCAAAGTGCTCAAGTTTGTAATTCAATTTAATTTCACAGGTAAAAGACGTTTCATCATCGTACTCGACTGATAAACTGATATATTAATCAAATCAATTTATATACTTGACTTACAGTATAATTATAGAATACTCTACCTGACATTAGAATCATCTTCATCAACCCATGCAGGTGATTTGGCTTCCAAAAGATCATCTTCTTTATTTAAATGAACTACGTTCTCCTGAAAATATTTTACAATAATTTTTGATTACACTTATTTTTACGAAATCAACTGAATAACACCAATTACATACAATACAAACTAAGTTTTTAAATGAAATGAAAGCGATTTTGCGCAACAGGATTCGTCTTTTGTATCAGCAGCTGCTCCATAGGGATTAGAAACGAGTTACAGTGTATATCCAGTTTACGTGGAAAACGTGCAGTGTTTCAATTCTACTTGAAATTATCGTTATTGGCTAGGTAATAAAAAATCATGTTAATTCTTACAACTATAAAATGATTTCTTTAATCTTTAAAATTCTTTAAGCACGGTATAGCCATTCAGCATGCTACGCTGATTTTCAATGGGCCGTGCACACTATACAACATATATTAACCTAATTCTATAATACAAAATAGTGAAGCCTACATACTGGTCAGATTCACACTATAATATATACTAATACATTAAACAACTAATTATTCTAATTATAGTAAAAAACTACTGATATTACTGATTAACCCAAGGGGACTTAATCGGTTCTGTAGTGATTGATGAGCATAGATTTAGTAACATTTAGTGTATATTGTCGACGTTTTGTCTAATGTTATCCGGGAGATTGTTCCAAGATTTTGCCGCTCTATATGAGAAACTTTTTTTGAGAAAATTTGTGTTAGGTTTCTCAAGGGAAAGTTGGCAAAAGTTACTTCTCAAGTTGTACGTTCCGTTTGAACAGAAATTAAACATTTCTGTGAGATAATTCGGAGAATTAGCAGTAAGTAAGTGCTTGCTTGCAGTAAGTAAGTGCTTTCTCGAACACGATATGAATTCGCGTCTCACATTTACCTATTTTCCTTTGGCATATTCCATGCCTTTTTCACAGAATGTCAAAACGTATGAAGCAGCGTTGCACTACACTTCTACACTACCTTGTGAGATGGTTGACCATCAGAGGACCTAAATCGCTTCACTCGCAAAGACAATGTAACCAAAATGCGTTCAGCTTTAAAATGGAAGACACTAGAAATTAGGCGAACTACAGTATAGCACGCCTATCTATGCTGTATAAATTACGAAACAGGCCAGGATGTCAAGGAAAACCTGCACCTCCTCTAACAAATGAGGTCAACAAGAATTGAACAGCAACTAAAAGACTACAAGAAACTTATTCCAACATAATATACATCTAACAATTCAACATATCATGTAGGGTAGAGTACAACACATGAGCCTGCAAGTATGTCATGCCTAGGTCCACTAAAAAATACAACCTAGTACACAACACACTGGGCCCAACCAGTCCAACCATGACCATTTGCATAATTATTAGGGCATACTACACACATAGTCTCAGAGAACCAGGCCTTATAATTTGGATGAGGAGAAGAGGGCATGACACAAATTAGAGATGAGCCGACAATCAGCAAAACACTGGCAGAGCCGATTAACAGCTACTTTTATCACAATCAACCATTGGTTGTCTTCACTATCTTTTCCTATCTGCATGGTGTCTGTATCGTCCATGTTTATCATGACTTCTCATTCTAAAAGTATTGTTTGGGAATACTTTGAAATTGATGGGAAAGAAGAGTCAAAGGGTGAATGTCTGGTGTGTAAAAGCAGCAGTGTCCGTTCTTTGTTGTCACAAGGTAGAAAGCAGAAAAATAATTTCGCATCAATCAACCTGAAATGACTGCAGTCACTACATCCCATTCGGAACTAGCGAGTTGAGTCAAGTAAAACACTAAACAATCATGGTGGGCATATATCGTCTCTTGAACAATCAGTATCGCAAATCGGGTCTTTTTATATTGGCTCATCTCTAACACAAATCATTGATTTTCTCAAAGGAAAGAAGCACATAATGTGATGCTGCTATATAATGAATTTTAATAATAATAATAATAATAATAACAGTCTTTATTCATACTCAAGAACACCCGTCTGTGAGTTTACATTATAAAAATATATAAGATAAAATTATTTATATCTATAAGGTAATAACTAGATATATACAGTTATGGATAAAAATATTAATAATGTTAAAAAGGTAAAGGTTAAAATTGGTTAAACAAAGTTAAACAAACATCGATTTACAAAAGAACTTTTAAATCGCTCTGTTCTCACTAATGGAAGTTCAAACTCGTGTCCCCTTGGCCTAAGGTGTCTATTTAATTTATCTGGTAAAAGCTCCTGTAGTGCATTATCTTTATTATGTATTACTTTATCCCAAAGTTCTATGCCGTAAGTGATTATAGGCATAATTAAAGTGTTAAACAGCATGTCCAGTTGTTTGATTGGGAAGCCATAGTATTTACAGACACGCATTATGTACATTCTTAATTTTTATGTTCATTGAGCAACCAATTTTTCCAGTTCGGTATTTAGAAAATATAGTATAGTAATTGTATTATTAATACAAAGCACTATGAAAGAGAGGGAGTTTGAAGACACTTTTGTAGCATCAATCAACATTTTAATGATATTGACAACATCCAGCCATGAATTTGTTAACGATATGCATGAAAATGTTATGCATTAAAATGTTATGAATGAAACCTGTGAATGAACCAGCAACAGGCATCAATATAACGGCCGGCCACCCCCCACCGGCCATTAGCCGAGCAAAATGCTGATATGGCCGTCTACTGATTACTCTGCACGGGCATTATGGCCAACCGTTTTGTCTCATTAATTTGAATATTTCTTCCTTTATTGTTGCAAATCGTTTTAACAAAATCTGTAATCTTTAACACATGCAAACAAAGATTCTGTCAGTCTGCTAGTCAATCACAGAATCTGACTTCGTCCCAATCCACACAATAACAATGTCATCTCGTGTGTTAATATTTTATACTAGGTTACCCACAGGGCAGTAATGCTGCCTTTGACAGCAAAAGACAAACTACAGGGTGTTGAACGAGTCCTTCAGAAACATCCTATTATTGTTATCCTAGCCTGCGTAGCGGCTCTCAGAGAAAGTAGAATTTCTCTGATAGCCGCTACGCAGGCTATTGTTATCCTTGTATTAAAAATCGTCTGGCGTTGGACAGGGTAAATACTAAAATCATTACTGTGCTGATGGATTAACAAGAGCCATTGGCAGTTAGGTTTGTTAACCCATTTACTGGCAGTACCCTGTACCACTGACGAGTAAAATTTTCTGGCGCTGGACAAGGGACTGGCGCATTGCCAGCTAATGGGTTAAACCACCGTGGTTAAACATAAGATTTGATGCTCCAGGAAATGTAAACAAACTATCAGTGTGACATCCCAGTTTATATATTTATATACTCGGAATATTGATTTCTCGGTAGATACAAAATTATTTTAAAGTATAACAACCAGCGAAGACGTAAGCCACTAACTACCCTGCGCGGCTGCGCGCAGACTATATAATGACATATATATGTTATCCGTCCGGTCCGTCCGTCGCCATCCGTCCGTCCGTATCCGCGTTTTATCCTAACTCGTTTTTAAAACACAAAAGTGCGGTTCGTCATGATCAACATTTTCAAAAGCGGCCAATTAGACCAGGGGTTAAAGGGCAATGACAATTGCAGGTGACATTTAACATTGCGTCTCACTAATTAAAATTTGCGTGTTTATTAATGATGTTTATCAAAGAAAGCAAAAATATATACAAGACAGTCTCACATGTGAAATTTTTTCACTTACGTACTGCCTTGTGATGCAGTACAAGTATAAACACCAAATGACAAAGCATTTGTAAATCCTAAGACATAATTAAATCATACGGCACATTCAAGATTTTAATATCGTATTTCAGCCGCGCGTTTATACTGCTTGGCGCATTCGCTGCGTTATATTCATTTAATATACACAGAAAAGCATGCCATTGTCTTTGCGGACCATAGGCAAAAAGCATTCGTCAACCACATATCAAATTTAAGCAATCGTTAAATCATATACATGTCATGGAAAGAATATGAAAATAATGTTGAATGAAAGCTAGCATCGCTTATAATGTTAAAAGCACCGCATATAGTGCTCGAACCACTGCGTATAATTGCAACAGCACCGCGCATATAAATGGTGAAAGCACCGCGCATATAAATGGTGAAAGCACCGCGTATATAAATGGTGAAAGCACCGCGTATATAAATGGTGAAAGCACCGCGTATATAAATGGTGAAAGCACCGCGTATAATGCTGGAACCACAGCGTATAATGCGGGAACCACCGCGTATAATGGCGAAAGCACCGTGTATAATGCCGAAAGCACCGCCGTATAATGCTAAAAGCACCCAACAAAATGCCGTTTGATCACTCTAAGCCAGCTGCCAGCTATGGCTTTCCATAAAAGAAGACCAAAGATGAAAGATGATCACATTGCCTGTTTGCCTTATGCCTGACCGCGCTGCACCACGGTTAAAATTCACTGGTACCGTCATGCAATGCGCCAAATAGAAAATTTTGATATCGACCCACAAAACAAAATTAGGATCTGCTGCCTTGCTCGCTCGCTTCAGGCTCGCTCGCTGCGGCAGCAATAAGGGCGCGTGCATTTTCAGGGCGTGCTTCTGCTCGGCTAAACTTTACACAAAAAGGTGCAGTGACAAAAAAACCCTTAAAAGTAGCCTTCTCAGTTCGAATAATTCTTCTAAGTATGAACAGATGATTATAATGATGATTATTTGATGATCGCTGGTCCCAATGGATGTGAAAGTGAAACAAGGTTTTCCCCAATATCAAACACTTATCATCAACTGCCTTGTCCCCAGGCGCTATAAAAAGATTTCACATACGAGTCACTTATAAAAGGTTTACTTGAAGTACTACGTCATCATAGGCACGCAAAGGGGGATGGGATACAAGCTCAACCCCATAAACCCCTGCGCTACACGGCCAAAAATGACCAGGTTGTTGCAATGTTGATGAAAACAGGATTGAACAATGTTTTGCTGCCCACATTGTTCAGAACAATATGGGTCAATATTGTTGACAAGTGTGAACAACATGGGCAGAATTGGGCAGCAAAACATTGTTCAATCCTGTAACAGCGGGCTCAGCGTTTTTACGCGTGTACTTGTTCGTCGCGATGCACTATACTTCATGTAAACCTCTTATATGGGACGAGGCAGTATCGTCACTGAGAGTCAAGAGAATGCTGTAAAAACAATTCAGTTCTAATCTCTGTCAAATAATTAAGTGAATACATATGATACGTTATTATGCTTATGCATCTTCAATTTGTCTTTTAAAGACAAAACAATTGCCTAAAGACAAAACAATTGCCGCCGAACATGGAAATGTCGACGGCAATCGTTTGCCTAGTGCGAGGATTTTAATATCAAAATTACGAGGACGAAGCCACGTTCCTGATCAGCGTTTAGTACTTCAGTTGAAACAAACAATTCTACATTATATATTTGTTGCAATAATATATGGAGGCAAACCCGTATTTTTTTAGTATTACTTTTAAAACAGAAGTTCATTCTTTCCGTACATTATTAACAATCTTGACAATAAATTACAATATTTACCATACCAAGTGCGAGAATAAATTCAGGTTTGAGATGTTCAGCCAAGTTTCCCAATTCTTCTGCCACTGCCTTTTCGACCTTAGTGTAATATGGCGAAATAATTTGTCCTCCCCAATCACCGATAGCAAAAAATTGTAAAGAGCCCATAGACGGTATTTTGCGACATTCTACCAGACTCGGCCTGTGGGTTAGCAGAAATACAAATAATCCCATCAGAAAAACGCAGATACTTTGCTGTTGCAACATATTTCAGTTACATAATCTGATTATCTTCCGAATTAAACTCCACTCGCGGTGAGACTGTATACTCTCCTTAAATGTAACTTTAATTAAAATATTTTTTGCTTTTCTTGTATTTGTCTGCCGTTTGACTTTTCAAGACAAACAATATTTTGATCGATCACGGGTTCATAGTATCACATGAAAGATATACGTATCATATTTCAAGTTCAATAATAGACAAGGTCGGCAAAGTTGTTTACTGAAAGAATTCGAACAGGTCGGTGTCGTGACAATGTTTTCAGGTACTTACATTATAGTTACTATGCTCGGCCAAATTCACTCGTACGAGTAATTATTCTACGGTTGCGAACGTCAATAGTGCGTAAATGGTTCGTAAGTCAAAATTACTGCTACTAAATCTCAAATTTGAACTAAAGCCATGCCTGACTAAAGGCCCGGTCACACTACACAACGATAACGATACGATAAATTGTAAACACGCGATAATTGTCAAAAAAATGGTGTCAGTGTCCACACAACAACGAAAATGATAAAATTATCGTTGAACGATAACGATTTTAAAATCGCTCACCTGAGCGATTTATTTTTTCAGTCGGACGATAACGATAAATTTTTGACCAATCAGCGCGCGTATACAAGTTATCGTATCGTTATCGTTGTGTAGTGTGACCTGGGCTTAAGGCATTTGACTATATTAAAATCTCTTCTACTGGGTATACTAACGTTATTCTCAGTCTCAGATTGACAGATGTTTTCATTCTTGAATTTCCGTTTAGTAATATTGCCAAAACGTCCTTTCAAACATATAAAAAATAGCTACGCAGTGCGTACATGTTGCATGTAGAATGCCCATATACGGGCATGCAACAAAAAGTAGTTCGCCCACATCGTCATCGTGTTTTTTCTTCCTTTATTTATCAAACAAAATAAATGTTTTAGGGCTAGGGGCCTACTAGAAACTTTTAATAGGCTTTTTATTAAGACCCCTAGTATCGAACAAATTAAAATAATATATACATATCTGGTAAAATATAGTAAATGCAATTTTGTGTATATTAAAGATAGAGAAGAATTAACTACATGATTGAATATTAGCTATATTAAGATTTAAGTATATTATATATATGGAAAAAAAACCAACAAAAAGAGACAAAACAAAACATTCGTGAAGAATAGATCAATCTACATTTAATAGGCCAAATAAAAAAAAAACTTGGTTAGCGTCATCGCCCGCCTCTCGATTTCTGCCGTCTCTGAATTTTTTTATGTAAATCTCTTCGTTTTACAGCTTAAAACAGTTTAATATTTGAAATTTTTCTCATGGTCAGACCTTCGCGCTATATACTGATCGATAGGAGCGCGTGGTCTTGGGTATACAAGGTTTTTATAGCAAAATGGCGGCCTTCGCAGCATCAGTACAAAAAGTATCCCCGATATGGTGGAAAAACCGCCCACATCCCCCCCAAAATACTATTAAAACATTTAAAAACGAGTAAAAATTTTAAAAAAACCCCGCCCGCCCGCCTCTGAAAATTTGTGAGAGTGTGACGCTAACCAAGTAGTTTTTTTTATTTGGCCTTATTATAGCTACAAAATTCTCCTTATTTGCATAAACGTTTCCCTGCTACAACACGATCGATATAACCTGGCTGCGAACTGATATGTAACTAACATGCACGGCCGCTCACGCCAGATGTTTAAATTAACCAGCTGGCTATAACTTGTATACTATAGTTACATTTTATATAACACCTCGTCAATTCTTGTCATTCAATTGGCTGATTATAATCACATGATATGGAATTAAAACTCTCACTTGCACAGCCGTGCAACAATATTTAACAATTATTTGCCTAAGGCGAGGTGATTATCAGGGAATATTCACCGAGACGAAGTCGAGGTCGGAGGTGAATATTCCCCGATAATCACGAAGCCTGAGGCGAATAATTGTTTTAGTATTCTTACACAAGTCTTTTGTGTTTTTTGGTACTAAAGTTATTTTAATTTTGCTTATTTCTTTATTAGTACTGTAATAAAACTTCCACAAAATGGCTATTTTGCAACTGATTTTGGTTTTGTTATATTCACCTGGGGCCGGTTGTTCAAAGGTGGGTTATCGCTAACCCTTCGGTTAAAATTTAACCCGCTGTTTTGGTTTGTGTAGTTCTGCACGTCTGTTTATCTCAAAACGTCAGAGAAGTGAACAACCTTGTTCCCAGGCTCTTACCTTCGCACGATCGGAAGCTAAGAGCCTGGGAACGAGGTTGAGAAGTGAACTGCTATCGATCCGGACAAGGTTTCTGAAGAAACATTTCCAAATTAATAGACAAGCAGTCAGGAAATTTGCTTTTAATTTTAAGTCAACCTAGGGTTAAATTAAACTAATCGGCTTTTGAAGAACCGGCCCCTGTAGGTGAATATAACATCTTAATACGTCAAATTTGACCAATCAGGTTGTAAGATTTGTTATATTCACTTGTGCAAAAATACTAAACGAGTAATATTGCACGGTATAAGGTTTAATTAAATTCAATCATTCAAAAAGTCCTATTCGTATCGTAATCGTAGCTCATTTAACTATAATTTTCATACTAAGACTGATGGAATTAAATTCAAATACATGTCGACTCGTACGAAGCAAAATGGCGGGTGTAAAAAGACAATTTGTACGATAAATGACCGCCATTATCACATTTATTATTAACATGACAAAATTACTGAATGCTGATTGGTTGAGAGGAGTACAATTATTTCATTAATTGTACTGCAGTACAATTAATGATTTTCCCAAAACAAACAAAATGGCGGAAACATACTTTAAACATGCTTTAAACACATGAAGCGTGAAATGAAATTGCCGTGGAGGAACTAGATGAAAATACGAACAAAAGCACCAAATTTTGCTATAACAAAAGAACTAAATGAAAATACAAACAAAAGCACCAAATTTTGGTTGAAAGTCTGGCAGGACTGGGCTTTGGCAAGAGAATATGATGTTGACATTGAGAAGTACGTATCCAATTTTGTCATGCTAATAATAAACAAATAATCATGCGATGTTGCTCGTACAATTCGGGATTAATAGTACTCGTGATGTTTGGAAATTTGCCAAATTGGACTCGCCCCGGCGGCTCGTCCAATTTTGGCAAAATTTCCAAACATCACTCGTACTATTAATCCCGAATTGTACTCGCCATCGCATGATTACCTATACTAATTCTTCACTAAAACATTTGTTGGCATTTTTTGTTGCATTTTATTTATTTTTGAACAAAGTAGCCTAACTACTTAACTATTTGTTTTGTATTTAATTCACTTAAAAAATCGATAAAATTTATCTATTTTCAGTATTTTGGTGTCATATAAAACAACTAATGAATGTTTTCATTCGTGCGATAGTAAAAAAAATTCTTTGGCGTCATGAAAATATATTTACCAATGCACTCATAGACATTCATTATTTGTATAATATATCACGCTATTTGAGTCGATTTAAAATTTGACCCAACACGCTGTATAAATAGCAGAATAAATATAATTTCTCTACCCCTCGTAGGGTTCGATTCCTGCCTAAAGTTGCATTTCTCGCAGCTGCTCTCGGTTAGGTCTAAAACATTGTATATAAATTTTCGTTCGAAAACTCCATCTACAAATCTCCCATCTACATGCATTCAGTTTATCACACGAGATGCCCAAAAATCTTCACACCGTTATGTTTATTATTAATAATTATACAATTTATGTCTTATTAGAAAACCGAGTAAATTATACAATAGTTTTGGAAACCACATGCAATCTTGAAAAGAATACCGTTCATCATCAGTGACGTAGTTACCAGTACGAAAATAACATTCCCCTTGTCTCGGAGAACAAAACAATCATCACACTTGATTATATTATAGTCATGCATTCAGTATTTATGTGGTCGGCATGCTGGAATATGGATGGTATATGTATCATTTGAATGGAACATGATATACTTTATGCACACCTGGCAGCACAGCAAGTTTGTGTTCGAACAATCCACAACTGGTGTAGTTGGCTTTTATGCTACAGTATTTCATCATCTTCATCTTCACTGAATTCCCACACCTAAAGTGAAACATTCATAAGAAATATATGGCCTCATACAAGAGACGGATCGTCTGTCGAGATGCTTCATCCGTCTCCCGGATAAACTGACTTTTTGTGACATTTGTCAAAACAAGAAATCCAAAAGAGCTAGCTAGAAATCCTAGAATATTTTGTCCGATAGTTTGTCGATCTAATACCGAATAATGAAAGGAGAAACAGATCAACGTCTCTTCCGAGAGTGCATGTATTCTTTTCATTGACTGTATAATTAGCTACGAATGATCGACCCAGGGTTCGTACACCTTCATAATTTAAAAAATCCAGGGTTTTCCAGGACTTTTTTCATCCTTTTCCCAGGGGTTTTCCAGGGGTATTTGAAACATAAATCTATAAGTGCTTAACCGATATGAAACGTTCGCGACGGCTACATGTAGTACAGGTACTTCATCTTGCACAGATACTTTTTGGGTTTGTGCCAGTTTGAACGAAAGGTCGTATTCCCAAGAAATGCGCCGTATTCCCAAGAAATGCTGCGACTATATATAATGCAAGACACTTTTGTGCAATCTTTCTTTTTAAGAGTGTTTTAAAAATAGTATAGGTATAATCCTATACCCAGCTCAGTTTTCCTGGGTTTTCCAGGGATAAATTTGAAATTCCAGGGTTTTCAAGGGTTTTTCAGGACTAAAATAAAAATCCAGGGTTTTCCAGGATTTCCAGGGGGCGTACGAACCCTGTCGACCAGATGGATGATGCGTCTTGATTATATGGTCTTGACAGTTCATCCGTCTAAGGTGAATCGACTACACTCATTAAGAAAATTAATATAACGAGAGCAAAAAATTCGATTGTTTAAAATAAGAACATTTGTCATACCTCAAGTAGCTTTGTGTCCTCCATTAATTTGGTTAATCCTGTTAGGTCCTCGAGATATTTAGGAATGTTAAAAGCTCGGAGAAGAAAAGGAAACCCTTCATTTATATACTTCGTTACGACCTGGAAGATTAGTGAAATAATGAATATGTACTGTACTCACAGTATTGAATGGCATGTATATTGGT